AAAAAAAAAAAGGTTCAAATAATTCAATTTGCCGCGTTTCATTGATTTGTTTAAATTTGATAAATATTTTTTGAAGGTTGCACTTTGCATTTGGTTGGGAGGCTTCAGGGTGGTGTCGTTGTGAACTCGTCTATTAAACAGAAGTATCCCCCACATCTCAAGGCATTGGCTCAGAAGTTCAGACAGAAGAAGTTGATTTGTCGAAAGTAATTAGTTTTTTTTTTTTTTCGCCATTCGTCTAGCTACTTTTTTTGAGTGACGATCTCGAGTTTGGATTACATTCGCAGGTGTTACGCTCGTCTGCCGCTTCGAGCCGTCAACTGTAGGAAGAAAAAATGTGGACACAGCAACGAGGTCGTCGACTCTTTTTTATTTATATAATCTCGATTTGTCGTCAAATAACTTCACATATAGTTTGATTTGGTCATGTAATTAATAATGCTCGTTTATGTATGTAAATTTTGTTTTGTTTTTTTGTTCGTTTCTTGCAGTTGCGGCCGAAGTCGGACAAGGGCAAGTTTCTTTGATCAGCTGATGAATGATCGATGATTAGTATTGATCTTAGTTATGTTTTTCAGATGATTTAGGAATTTTGATCGATGTTTAGCAGACTCCTTAGTGATGTTGTCGTTGTTTTGATTAAGTACAAAGTTGAGAGAGTTGGAAGTTTTATTAATCAGTTCGTTTGTTGTTAAGAGAGATCCTTTGATTTTCAGATGCATTTTTTTTTTTTTTTGGTACACAGATGCAATTACTTTTAATGATATATACAATTTTTGCCTATGCATAATTCAATTATTATCTTGATGATTAATTAAATACTACATTTTTAGGGGAAAAAAAATACATTTTAAAAGTTCCGATGCCTTTTGAGTCTCCATTTATTCGTTCTCAAGTTAAGTGTCTGGTTTTGCTACAAAAAAATTATTATTATTATTATTATTATTATTATTATTATTATTATTATTATTATTATTATTATTATTATTTCTTCAAGTGTGGTAGTTTAGTGGAACTTGACCAAAGGTTGATTCAACACGTATTTCACCACGTTTTGACTTTTGACGTGCCAAATATGAGGCTTTTTCTTTTTTATTTATTTATTTATTTATTAATTTATTTTGGCAAAATGTGAGGCTTATATATGATAGGGATTAGGGTGGTTTGGGTTTTCTCGTTTGCCCCGCAATAATATTAGAAGTGAAGCAAAATAGAATTCTTAGAGTAGTTTAGATTTTTTTTTTTATTACTAATTATTTTTTGATGTAGAATGAAAAAGATATAAATAAGTATAAATAAATATATATATATGTGTGTATATATATTTATATATTATTTTAAATCAATTTTCAAAATGTGTCGTCATATAACTAAACATGACGATTTTGTATAAAACGTCATAATTTAATTACACTTTTAAATAAATGTCGCAATATCAATTAATTTGTGACACTTTTTAAAAAGCAATATGATTTTATTACACCTTTTTAAAAAAGCGTTGTTATTATTTATATTTTGTGACGCTTTTAAAAAGCATCACAAACACACCAATTTAATTACACTTATTTAAAAAGTCACCATATTTATATTGTTAGAACTCCTTTTTGTTGTAGTGAAAGTAATTCAAGCATGGTAAGAATGAATAATGAAATAATATCTAATATATGATGTTTTAGTGTAATTAAAAAATGTAAAACGTAAATTAATATTACTAGTACAATACCTGTGTACTACACATGTAGAGATGTTAAACGGTCCTTGGCCCGATGGACCGGCCCGTTTAGCCCTGAAAAAAATAGGGTTAGGGCTTTTTATTGGTAGCTCGTTCAAATCAGGGCTTTTTATGCCCGGACCATTTAAACCGAAGCCCGTTAGGGCTAGCTCGAAACCTGCTAGGGCTGGCCCGTTTAACTTGATTTGGGCGTTGTAAATGTTTGCAGCAAGTAAGTAATATGCTCTTAGATTCATTGTATATTACAATTTTGCTATTCCACTTCACATGTAAGTATGAGCTGTAACGGATTATAATGATTTTGAAAGATAATTATTAACAATATTCTTAATGTACTCCACACCAAAATATTTAAGTCAATCAGAACGACTAATAGGAAATACATTAGACAAAGACCTAACACATGAAACATAGTGATAGAATTTATAATGATATAATATCGTAAAAATTTCTAAAGCGTAAAAAATAAGTAGTAAAATGGTAATTGTAAGTAATAATTCGAATATTTTTTCTTTTGAAAAAAAAAAATATGTTATTTAAGAATTTGTAGTGTGTGTTCATATATGATGTGTAGTTGTATATATAGAGCGGTAAATACCAAATAACCGTTGAAAACAATCGTTAATTAGTCGTTGTAATTTTTTATAATGTTTTTATTTATATTTTTTGATACATTATTATAATAATAATAATAATAATATTATTATTATTATTATTATTATTATTATTGCTGTTGTTGTTATTATTATTATTATTATTATTATTATTATTATTATTATTATTATTATTATTATTATTATAGCTCACATAGCCCGTTTAGCCCGAAGCCCACTAGGGTTAGGGTTAGGTCCTTTTATTGGTAGCCCGTTTAAATTTGAGCTTTTTAGGCCCGAACCGTTTAGCCCGAAGGCCGCTAGGGCTAGCCCGTTAAACATCTTTATACACATGCGATTGATAAACTAATTAAATGTACACAAAAAATGGAAAGAAAAATGTTTATGTATTTTGTTAAAGTTGGAAAGAATAAATAAGGAATATTATATAACAATTTATAATAAATAAATAAGTGAATTAATAATCTTATTTTAAATTTAAAACCTAATGTATATACATCATTAATTTTATTTATAATTTTTATTTAAAACACATAAGGGAATAATATAGACAAATCACAAAATTTACAAAGTAAGATTATATACAAACTTATAGAAAGAAGATAACAATAGGTTATATGGAATAATTTAAATATATTAAACATGTGTATAAATATGACAATTCGAACTTAAGTTAAAATTAATAATTTTTATCCGAGTCATATTACAAAGCATAATATTTTGCCACATAAGATTACAAAATGTGTGAAATTGTCAATTAGACTTAACGCGTCCTGAAATTATATAATATGATTTTTTTTTATTTAGGACGTCATTCAATACTAAATGTAAAAAATTATTTTCAAATCAAATTTGGTAGCAAAAGTATTAGTTTTTTGGTGCCTTAGTGGGCAAATAGAGATGAGCAAGTAATAACCGAATGAGAAAACCTTGGTATCAAATTTATTGGCAAAATTATTTATTACACTTGGTAGGCAAACATTCTTGCCGTGCAAGTATTCGTGATGGCAAGTAAAAAAAAAAAAAATTAAAAAAAAAAAAAAAAAAAAAATTAAAAGCCGAATTAAACTCATCCGGTGAGAATGTGCTAAAAAATATGCTTAACTAAATAAATTAGAATAAATCATAGATATTAGATCAATTAATCAAATTAAAAAAAAGGAACCAAAAATTTTTCACTTATTAAAGATCATTTGGAAATTACCATTATCATCTAATCAACCCACTCACCGTGGGTCCCATGCCACATCATCTACCCCACACACATCAGCACACACAATTAATTAATACACACATATATATACACACACTATATATATAAGACACACACACACACACACACACACTACATGCACTGTATTTACACGACACACACACACACACACACACACACTACATGCACTACACACATATACACAGTTCTTAGTCATCGCCGGCTGCACCACGCCACCACAAGTTGCCGGAGCCGCCCGTAGCTCGGTAGCACCATCCAACGTGCAGATATCCAACCGTCCACCGTCGACATCACTCTCTCCGCCGCTTATTCGCTAGACGTTGGCTTTGCTAACCGCCCGTACCTGCATTTGTCGACTCCGGCTGTGAGCAATAGATTTCGACCTCCGTGTTGACGAGCGTTTTCGGTCAACGGTTAAAAATAAAGAATGCCGAAAGCAAAAGACTGAAAATGGGAGGATGGTTCGAATTACGACTTTATTAAACGATCACGAGGTCGGCCTCTCGTACAAGGTCGGCACTTGCGATATACTTACAATTCTTACAACGAGTTTCTTACAGTTTTTAGAGAGAGAAAGTAGAGAGAAGGCAAAGTTAGTTGGATTTCAACAACCCAAAATAAATGAAATGAGCTGCTATTTATAGTAGTCTTTAATGTGGCACTATTCAGCTACTGTTCACAGGTCTTGTCGCACAGTAATCTAGCAGAGCAGTTCGGCGTCTCACTGACGTCTATTTAATGCGATTTGAGGTTTCTGCAATCATTGACTGTCAGGCATTTAATGCAAGCATGGGGGGCATTTATTGCTGGCAGGCTTTCTTGTCTAGGCTTGCTTGTAGAGTGACAGGCTACGACTGCCCGTCCCATCGCCCAATGATGACCTTCCAAGTGGAAATATTTTAATGTTCACCGAGCCCCGCCATGGCCCTCGGGGTGGCCGCTTCGCACCTTCAGGTCGGCACCTTTCTCGAATGTGCTTACAGAACGTCCTTGATCCATTCTCTAGCCCGGCACCCATCCAGCCCGGCTCTCTCATACACGAGCCGGGGTGCCGGCATTGAAAAGCGCTCCCATGAAGATCCTGAGCACTTTGCTTCCCCGTTCAGCTCGGCACTTCCTCTTTAGATCGGGTCCTAAGCCCGAGTTTTGGTAGGCGACGTCTTCCCGGTTCACTCCTGGCTAACTCGGGTATCAACACTCCGTCCGCCACTCGCAGCCGATTATGTCCAAGAAGACCTCTACTCGTCGTCGATCCAACACGACACTAATTGGTCTCCGGCAACAACGCGCATAGATGTTGGCGTATTTGGTCCACGACGGCTCCATTTTCTCGTGATGCCCCGATTCTCCAGGCTATCGACTCCGTCGCCGGTGTTGAGGAATGTCAGCAACCCGTCGAAATCCATCGTCATTTTGGGGCTGGAGGCAGATCAGTCGCTGGTGTCGTCATTGGGACAATTGAAAAAACGTTTGGGGATAGGGACTTTTATTGGGAAATTTGATAAGTCCTAAGGGCTGATTTGCAATTTAATAGTACTATATAATGCAAATAAAACTATGGGGTCATTCTGTAAATTCAACAAAATTAACTATATTACTATTTAGGCTTATTTTCTAAGATTAATTATTCGTGACTTGCATTATTATGATATTCCTCATAGAACCCTAATAAGATTAAGGTTTGATTGGAGAAGACGAGAGTATATTAGCAGGGAGACTTGAGCAAAGTTGGAAAAGTTTGAATAATTAAGCAAATGGGCATATTTATAGGTGGGAAAGAATCCCGAAGGTAGATTGATCCTAACATTTGGATTGTGGTTGAAGCAAACAGTCAGGATTGAAAGGAAGAGAATAAGAGGCAGGTCGAGTAGGACCATTGGATCAAGATGTAAATTAACTGTAAGGATTAAGGCTGAGTAAGCTGAAAAGACAACGCGTCTTCAACCGTCGAATTAAATTTAGATCGAAAGGATGCCATTAAAGAAGCATATAATGGATACGTTGCACGAGGACAACACGAACTACGAGACGCTTATGTCAACAAACATTTAAACTAATTGGTCTGACAAGGTGCAAAGATTTGAATTTCAAAATTTGAATAGACCTTAGCCGGGGGTAAAAATATTGCTTTTGAACTAGAGGAAATTTGAGCAGCAAAGTCGAATGATCGAAGTAGTATCTCACCAAGAAGGACCAAAGACAATCAAAACTACTCTTAGATCGAGTTTTGTTAACTCGATCAGAGCGGGGGAGGGGACTATATGATATGTGATACTATACCGGGTTGACTGGACTTGAGAATCCAACCAACCAGATTGGTGAACAGGTAGGTCGACTGGTGCTACAAGTCGAACAAAGTCATTGGGTCGACATAGATGGCGAATGAAGAGGTGATGTTGACAGGTCGAGCTGGGGCCCTTGATTGCTTGATAGAAACTGAACCTGTAGGCATACTGGGCGAAGGATCGACCTAGGAGACCGTAGACGAGCCTAGCCGAGAAAATGATCTGCCTCATGAGAGGTCGAGTCAGGCGTATGGCTAGACCGTCTAATATGGATGACTATAAGATGAAAAGGAATATTATTAAGACATGTACCACAAGTGTCCTAACAGAATTGGATAGTGCGAGCTGTTTGGGAATTATGAAGTGGTAGTTCGGCAGTCCGGGCAGCTCATCCGAGAAGTGTTGGGCAACAATGTAACAACCATATATAAAGGGTGAGGTGTGTCTATTTGCACTCTACACACTATATACTTACAAAGCTTTATATCTATTGTTCATCGTCTTCATCACTGTGGACTGACTCGATCGTCAAAGTGCTAATGCATAGAACCCATCCCGACTCATTTTGCAGGTCTACGAACAGGTCAAAATGCATATCCAAGGCGTGTAAGCCAAATTGAGGCCATTGCACACCAGGTTTACTTGATGGCTAAAGAATAACCATGGTATATTTTAATGATATGAAGTATGGACAAATCAAGCTAAAATAAATATGCAAGATATGAAAGCAAGACACCAATATTACCGATCGAATGTGGCGATCGACAAGAAGATTATTTCTCTTGGATTTTGTTAAGAAATCAATCGAGTATGATGAGTGTATCTATGCATGATCTCGAAAGATTAGGTTATGAGAAAGCTATGTAATAAGGGTGTAGTGATATGGTGTTGATAACTGATTGATTTCTCTTTAGATCCAGAGGGGGTCGGTATTTATAAAAGAAAATACGTGATGGTGCATTAAATGCTAAGTGTCAGCTAAGGGCGTAGAGTGGCACCGTGTGTATCCATGCAAAGCTTGATGGGACAAATTGGGCGGTGCCATCAGCTTTATCAGTTCATAGTTCAAATGTGTAGGTGATCGATAGACTTTCTTGAGAAGACTCTGAGGGCGGTCGGTCAGCCGATCAAGGGATCGACAACCCTAACCCTGTGGTCTTGAGAAGACTCCGACAGCGATCGGTCATGCCGATCAGGGATCAACAACCCTAACCCTGCGGTCTTGAGTCGTTCGTGAGAGGGCAGATGTGCTTAGTGGGCCTTTGTTTAACATGTATGAACTTTTATCCTTTGTAAGCTTTCGTGATCAGATAATTTTAGGTACAACATGTAAATGTTTATTTTAACAGACTATGCTACTACCAAGCATGTTTATGAGATATTCATGATTTTATTCATTAAATTGATACCAAAATATGCTATCTGAAATTATTTACCCAAAATACAAAAAGAAAAAAAAAGAAAAATTAAGAAGAATAAACCGTGTTTCCTAGTTGTGCAACACATTGTTAAAAAAAATGTTGCCATCAAATCCCACTGTTTTAGACGATAACATCTCACGTGTTTTTTAAAATATATCACGTAAGTGCACTGATTTTTATATCATAACAATTGATTTGGAATTAATTCACCAATCATGGTATATTTTGTGAAGAAAAAAGAATCCAAAATTCAATCTGAAATTATTTAACCAAAATATCGAAAAATTTGGCCTGTCAATTTATATTATGCAAAAATTTTATTGATAAAAATTATTTGTATTTGTATATGTAGTGTGGTTTTTTTTTATATATATAAAATTAAAAAAATTTATAAATTAAAAGATAAGGAAAAATTCGACGTAAACGATACCGACAAATCATATGATTTTTTTTTTATTTGAGTTATTCATATAAAATTTCAAGTCAGATTCATGGATTGATATGTCTTCAAACGAATTAGTTAGAGTGAATAAGAAACCAATACAATATTAGTATATTATTAAGAGATGTTCACACAATTTTTTTAAACGATCTGGTTTATCGAAAAAATATATCTCCCTATATCCCCCTATATATAACTCCTGAATGCGTTGAGCCTACGTGGCTGCTTCTGGTGCTTCAGAATCTTACTTGACGAAGAATCATGCTTTGGACAAATAATATTGATATATTAATAATTAATAATCTAGGTTCAGACATTCCATAAATATTATTTAGCTAACTTTAATATCACTAGTACTAAAATAACCCTTTAATTCTTTGTAATTTTATATAGTGAGACACTAAGTGACTAACATAACCCTGACTTTTGATCTGTTTCCTTCAATTAGCTATTGAATTATAAATGTATTTTTAAAGTTGATAACTTTTGTATTTTTTATCGGTTTTACATATATAATATATCAAATTAATCATCTTTTGATGATCTTCGATTTGACATCCATATTGTATATATGAAATAAATAAATTATATTTATCTTTATAATAATAAAAAAATAATTATATTTATTAAAATTCTTTAGAAGAATAAAATTATTTCTCAATGATATATTTATGTTTAATGTAGTTATATTTGTATGTTAAAAAAATTATTATAATATAACACATGTAAGTCGCACAAATAAAAAGTGTCATACTAAATATATAATAATATATAAAAAAGTATTTAAATTTTCAACTACCTTTTCTAACAACTTTTAGATTTTAAGAAAAAAATTAGCAAGCACCCGTGTAATACACGGACGTTGTACTAGTAGTCCACTAATAGTAAGTCAAAACTTTTATTTTCTTGGTGAAACTTAATATAAAGGTAATTTCACAACAAGCTTTTTATATTACTATAAAATTTATTTTAATTAATTAAGAATTTTAATTGTGACGGTGAGTATACACATATATATGTGGCCATTTTCACAACCCTAAAACCCTGCACATCCATCTTAAGCCACACAGCCCGCCGCTGCCTTTGCTCCATTTTCACCTGCAATCCATTCCCAGCAACCATGGCGGAACAGGTATTCGAATGCGCATTCTCTTTATCTCTCTCTCTCTCTCTCTCTCTTTCTCTATAAATCCACACACCTCCCACATATTTGTATGGTTGTTACGTTTTTGTGTGGGTGAGGCATAATTATTGATTTGCAGCTTTCCCTTTTTGTACTTTAATTGCAGACCGAGAAGGCATTCTTGAAGCAGCCGAAGGTGTTCCTTTGGTAAGATTTTCGTGTCAATTTGTGTTAAATTTCATGCATTTTTGTACTCTGCTAATTGGGGTTTGGATGCAGCTCGAAGAAGTCGGGAAAAGGGAAGGCTCCGGGAAAGGGAGGCAATCGCTACTGGAAGAGCATCGGATTAGGGTTTAAAACTCCACGCGAGGCCATCGAAGGTTTATTCGTTTTCCTAGCAGCTTGATTTCGTCGAACAACGATGTTAGGACATGAATATTGATTCATTAACTTGTTAATTAGGATTTGTTGGGACTATGATATTTTAGGGTAACAAATTGGAATGAGCATAGCATGTTTGTTACCTGAATGAAACTATAGCTGTTTGATTGGATTAGATGTAAACAGAGAATATGTTCATTTGATTGGATTAGATGTAAACAGAGAATATGTTCAACCAGGCAGTGCCAGTAGTTGTCCTTCTGTTGATTTGTTCCTCGAGCTATTACAAGTATTTAATACTCTAAGGGTGCATTTGGATGTCCTTTATGCACTTGAATCAATAACATTTGGATTGAAACTCAATAAAAAAAAATCATAACTATCACTTGTACTTGGTTGATATCGACTCGTGCAACCATTATACTAAGCAAACAATGTTATGAGTGCGATTAAATCCTTATTAATGTGCCCGATTGTTTGTTAGGAAGTAATCGAGCCATATCCTAAATATCAACCAAACAGACCCTTATAGATTTAGCATACGACTATTCCATGGTAGGACTTTCTTTCACAATGATGCATAACCAAAAAAAAAAAAAACTTAATTTTACACAAGGACAAAAGTAACCTATATTTATAAAAACTACCCTATCTGATCATACATATATGCAATAAAAATGACCTATTGTTTTACATGTGTTACCTACATTCATAAAAGTGTTTACTAATGTATAATATAACATAAGTTATTTGTATGCATAGAAAATTATCTATTGCTCGTCCTTGTTAAAAAAAAATCAGATGAGATTGAGGTGTTTTTTATCAAAGTAAATTATTATTACGTGGGCCTAATAAACATTTTCCTACAATTATCCATAAACATCGTTCTTGTCTTGGTAAGTTTGCCTTGTTCGGTTGATCATTTGGATTGTTTCTTTCAGGCACGTACATTGACAAGAAATGCCCCTTCACCGGCAGTGTATCCATCAGGGGCCGTATCCTTGCTGGAACATGCCACAGTGCTAAGATGATGAGAACAATCATTGTTCGACGCAACTACTTGCATTGGGTCAAGAAGTACCAGCGGTATCCAATTAATTTTATGATGCTTTTACTTGTGCTCACTTTCTTTCTTTCGTTTGTTTGATTGATCGGTTCTTCCTTTAGGTATGAAAAGAGGCACTCGAATATTGCAGCGCACATATCCCCATGCTTCCGTGTGAAAGAGGGTGACCATGTAATCATTGGCCAATGCAGGTTAATTGTAAAGTTAATTATCATTATTATTATTATTATTATTATTATTATTATTATTATTATTATTGATATTACAATGACTCCTAAGCTTTTAGTGCAAGTATAAAAACTCATTGTCTTTGAACATAAAAAATTGGCGCCACCCTTTAAGTCTTGCACGCATATAGCTTTTGTATTTACAGTGCAAATAATGTCAAAAAACAAAAAAGGCAAGGGGTGGTAATGTGGTTTTTCTAATGATAACTTGAACTTTTGTTTGATGGCCTGATTTATTGTTTCACAGGCCATTGTCGAAAACAGTGAGGTTTAATGTCCTTAAGGTGATACCTGCTGGATCATCTGGTCGTGGCAAAAAGGCCTTTACAGGAATGTGATTCTAGGCAATTAGAGCTTTTTGTCGAACTCCCACCATGGGCTATTGCGATGTGGGTCTTGCGACTTATAACTTGTTTCAGTTCGGACTATTTTACTTATAACTTGTTTTCGTTCGGACTATTTTATTTTACGTTTTTCTTTGGAGTTTGTATTTCGGAACGATGTGTGGAGAAAATTTTATATTTCCGTATGCCATTTTAGTCTGCAACGATTGATTTTATAAATAAATACATATTTACAATCCTGAAAATAGCTAGTAAGCTGACTCAAATGGCAATTATTTTAAAAGTTAAAACACCACAAGCCTAAAATTACAATATTAATATTTTCACAAGTGGAGAGTTATAGCTTCTAAAAGGAGAGTAAAATACTAAAAAACACACAACAAAAATAACTACAAGCAAAACAACTTAAACATAATAACAAGAATAACGTCTTCCCTCTTCCCTATTAGTCGGTAAGTCACTCTGAACTTTCCGAACGTGAGCCAACACCCAAGGCGATCAACCAGAAAGCATAGCCACATCCCATGGCCCAACACACAAATTTAGAAACAACCAGAAAGCATAGTCACATCCCATGGCCCAACACACAAATTTAGAAACTTACCCTACGGCTGACTAGATCCGGACCAACGGACTAGAACTCCTCACAAAATGCCACCACTAGTTTAGCACCAAGAGACGCACACCAAACCTTCCTCCAAGAAACTTCGACGATCGCAACCAAGCTCACCTGGAGACTACCAGCTGCCCCCGCCAGAGGAACCTACCAGCCCAACCCAGGAGCATGACAAAAAACATGGGGGAAAGCTAGTACCCGCCTTAGTCCCGACCTTCGCAAGGCGGCAACAGCTGGCACCCGCCACCATGCCAAGGCAAAAATTCTTTGGCACCCCTTCTAGTCCCACCAGCACGCTAAGCCATGCCGATTAAGGAATTGAAGCCCCGGTGGGATGAGCGCAAGTAGCCCTAATGTCGGCCGACGTCAATACGTCATGAAGAAATCG